TATATATATATATATATATTGCACTTTATTCACTAGTGATATTTTCTATGATGTCCCCTTTTTACACGATGGCATTTAAACATCTGTTTAAGCGAGGCTTCAATAACAGCGTAATAAATATAATCTCAAACGAATACAATATTTTCTAAGATTCCATTTAAAACAGTATTAGTATTGTTGGCGTCAGAAATTAGTTACAACTTATATTACTATTTCATAACAATTTAGAATTGTGTCGCGCAATTTTAAACATCAGTGCTTTTTGTATCAACTGATAATATATCGTAATACAATTTAATTATACTTTACATTATTCACTATCGATGCTCGTCTATGTCCGTCAGAAGACAATGTTATCATTGGCTTAATTGTCAAAGTAATAACTGAAAATAGTCATCATTGTATAAGAATATTCATTCTATATAGTCTTTTCTTGGAGGAGAAACATGCTTTGAATTGTTATATTGAAGTTCTTTGTAAACAACTCTGTAAACAACTTGTTTTTAAAAATTTAATCACAAAAACAGCTGTATACAATTTATATAAATTAAATAAATATTAAACAACAAATTTATATAAATTCATTATCGGGAATTTTCTTCATTATTGTAATATATAGTTCCATATCTTATAACGTCTTTAACATAAAAGAAATCATTAGAACGTCCTTCCCAGATAACAAAAAGTGTTTAAAATCGGGTCATAAGACGTTTCTTGCGTTTAAAAGATGACTTAATGATGTCTTGTGTCACAATTTTAGACTTTGTGTTGTTGGAATTATTACTTGTGAGTCCATATTTACATTATTTCATTTTTAAATTTTATTGTCTTCCCAAGATATAACACAACATATCCCAAGATATAACACAACATATCAACATATGTATTTTAGAAAAGTAATGTTAGAGAATATCGTGTAAAAATACGAATTATCTCATACGAAGTATTTTATGTCATAGATTTATTTTGTTATCTTATTTCTGAAGTCATCCCCAATCATTAACTTTAAGACATATGACATGAATGATAAATCGGTCGGCACGACCTTCGTATTTCGATCCTCGCTGGGAAACATTAGAAAATGTGTCTACTATGTAACAATGATATATTAATCAGGTCAATGTGATTACACTAGATCTTTTTCTTTGTAAAGCTACTTTCGTAACTCGGGTCGAGTGTCTTAGCAGAAAATACAATTTCTCAGTTAGTTAAAAATTATGCTTTTATTTTAGTACCAAGTTTTAAGTTTAAAACTATGAAATTATTCTCTCAATTCGAGAAATAATTATTTTTATCATCAGAATTAATCATTTTTATATTACATGTAATTTGATTTTTTATTTAAGTCTCTTTATGTGTCAATAAATTTCTTTCAAAATTTGCGAAAATTATTATTCTTAATAAGTTATTATTCTTAAAAATTATTATTCTTAAAGCTGAGTGGTTCTTCAGCCATATTGAATCGTGATATCACACACGAGAAATGACATTGATTTTTCTTACATATATTTGTAAATAAAGAAAATTTGGATGAAACGAAACGAGATCGTTTTAAAACACTTGTACAAATGAACGAAGACTCTCCTTATATTCCCTGGTAGTTAAAGAATCGAAAAAGGCTCATAAGTAAAAATAGGCTACGCATGCGCATTGAGTAAAATTAGTAAACACACTTTACGTGCCTTTTATTATTTACTGACTGTCAAGGGAGATGAAGATAGTTTTGTCCATTTTTACAAATGTTTTAAAGCGATCTCATCATTTCATTTCATTCAAATTCTTTTTATTTACAAATGGCATGCAAGAAAATCAACGTATCGTTGATTTGACACTATGACACATTTCTCGCTCATGACGTCACGATTCAATATGACTGGAATGAGTACTCAGGAGCCTTAATATTCTAAATTGATAAAGAGAGCTAAAATTCGTTAGCATAAAATATTTTTTTTATTTTAATACATTCATATTTAATTTTGATATTTTATTATTAAGAAATGACATTTTCTTTTTAAAAAATTTTTAGAAAGTGAAGTATCCCAAATCGGTGTTTTTCATTATCAGCAATGAATTCTGCGAGAGATTTTCTTACTATGGAATGCGCAGTGAGTATATAAATTATAAATCGTCAACGTCAATTTAAGTATTAACCTCAGACATATTATACAATTTATGTAGTTTAAAAATGATGCTATGGCAATTAGAACAATTGTTCTTTTGATTATAATTCTCGTTATTAGTGCAATTTTTAATTGCAACCATATAATAAACTTCTCTAATATTTTCTATAAATTGGCAATTATATAAATTGTTTGAATATAATTCAATCTTTCTAATGAACATGTTATTGTACAAATTATAATAAATTGTAATAATCTCCAATAACAAATATGATATACATATATATGATATACATATATATATATTTTTTCTGAAATTCTTTTATATTATATATATTATTTTTATTTTTATAATATGTTTTTTATTTTTTTAACAGAATAATGTTATTATATTATAATTATCTTCTTAACAATCTAAAAAAAATATCAAATATAAAAAATTTATAACGTAGGACGAGATATTTAATTTATTTTTATTTTTAATTCTGAAATTCTGATATACTAAAAAATAATTCTAACATTGATCTTGAATCTGATTAATACATACATAATTTAATTATGTATGTAGAAGATATTAACACGAAATTATCTTTTTTATTTTTAGCCGTCCTGTCGCTATATTTATTTAACATGTTGGGATACAGTGAAAGCACATCTACAATAATCTATCATGTCTTCAGCAGTCTCGTCTATTTCTTTCCATTGATTGGCGCGATCATATCCGATTCGTGGCTTGGAAAGTTCAATACCATTCTTTATTTGAGTATTATTTACTCACTTGGACAAGTAATTCTATCTTTAAGTGCGGCAACTCCCATCAGATTGCCTGCAAAGTCAGTATAAAATATCTAAAATAACATTGAAAATTATGCACAGATATTATTAAAAAAAACTTTTCTATATCTAGAATTATATTTGAATTTAAACATTATTGGGATACAATTTAATTTTAATACCAGTTAAGTGCTGTTAATTTTTAATAGTTTTTAATTCCTGGTAACAAAAGAATAAACTTTTTTCAATTTTGCAGAGAATTTTCCATATTAGGTTTAATCCTAATAGCGCTTGGTACAGGCGGGATAAAACCTTGTGTGTCAGCTTTCGGAGGCGACCAGTTCGTCTTACCTCAACAAGAAAAACAGTTAGCGATGTTCTTTTCCCTTTTTTACTTTTCGATTAACACAGGCTCTCTAATTTCAACTATACTAACTCCGGTGATTCGTAAGACGGAGTGCTTTGGTACCGATTGTTACTTCGTGGCATTTTTGGTACCAGCCATTCTAATGATTACATCAATTGGTAACAATGAGAAAACATAAATAAAAAGAAATAAATTTCTTATTCATACTGATACAGTTTTTAGATTAATGTTTTAATTTTTATTTTTAGTTGTATTCGTCTTCGGGAAAAGAATGTACAAAATGGTCAATCCTACAGGCAATCTCATCGTTAAAGTTACCAAATGCGTTTGCGTAAGTCATATATCATCAAAATTTTAAGTCTGAAAACTCAAGATAAATATAAATGTCACCTGCAGGCTTAGATTGCAAAAACTAA